CTTGTTAGGCAAATGTATTTTACAAAGTATTGTAATTTTTTACAAAAGTTTTGGCTATAAAAGTATTATAAAAGTATTGGTTAGAAAATAAATAAAGAAACAAACCAGCCCAACCATGGGAGACCTAGAAGATGCTCCTGGCTCATGGTTTCTGATTGGCTCAGCTCTGGCTGTTACAGGTGCGGCCACTTGGGGAGTGAACCGGCAGATGGAGGCTCTTTCTCTCCTTCGCTCTGTAAATCTGACTTTCCAATAAAAGTCAAATAAATATAGATATTTTCTACATCTTGTAGGGAATAACAATCCTGTTCACAAAAATAGGCAGTTTCGGAGCCAGTGTTGTGCAGTGAGCAAAACCACTGCCTGTCGTGCTGGCATCCTGCATGAGCACTGGTGTGAGTCCTGGCTGCTCCACTTCCCACCCAGCTCCCTGTTAATGGTCAGGGAAAACGGTGGAGGACGCCCAAAGTGCTTGGGCTGCTGTTCTTCACGTGGGAGACTCAGAAGAAGCCTCTGGCTCCTGGCTTCTGCCTGGCCCACTCTGTCACTGTGGTCATTTGGGGAGTAAACCAGTGGATAAAGATCTCTCTGTAACTCTGCCTTTGAAATAGATGAAGTAAACCTTAAAACAAAAGTGTTTGCAGCACATGACTGCAACAAAAACAAAAACAAAACAAACCCCCTGAAACAGCAAGTTCTTTCTCAGCTAAGAATTCTGGGCAATAAGTAACACTTGATGAGAAGTTATGAACCCTACCTTTCCTTTTCTTAAGATTTATTTATTTTTATTACCAAGTCAGATATACAGAGAGGAAGATCTTCCGTCCAATGATTCACTCCTCAAGTGAGTGCAACAACTGGTGCCCATATGGGATCCCAGCGCGTTCAAGGCGAGGACTTTAGCTGCTAGGCCACGCCGCCGGGCCCGAACCCTACCTTTCTATACGAAGAAATATAGATTATAAAACATCGTTATTATGGGGTTTGGAAAAGTAGTGGGAAGCAGGGGTGGGACACTGAAGCTGTGTGCCCTTCCCTTCCGGGTTTTCCCCTCAGGGACCCCCAACAACAGACCCTGAGTCCTGATTTGACTCCAACCAGCGTGCCATACAGCCACAGTCTTTGGAAATTCTCCCTTTACCACCCACTCTTTCTCTCTAAAGGCTGTGGTAGAGGCTGGCAACCCTCTGCCTGTGGTCCCGCCCCCACAGCCTGGGGCACTCACCATCCTCGCCCACAGGAAGAAGAGCATCTGGTGGGACAGGCAGTAGCCTGGGCAGCCCGGCTGTGTCATGAGGTTCTTGCAGAAGTCCGTGAGCGTGCAGGGCTGGCCGCCGCTGTCCGACCTGTGCGAGGAGGTCACTGGTACTCAGAGCACCCTCCTCTTGTCAGCTGTGATATATCCCCTGCCTCAGAAAGTTCCAGACATCCAGCTAGGCACACACAGGTGTCCTGGGTCTGTATTTGCTAAAGCAAATTACCTTCAGTGCAGGGACAGGAGATTGGGGCTGGCTTGGCTTAGGAAGTCCCCAAACGCCCTAAATACTAGATGCTGGGATCCAGAGAGCTTAGTGGTCTGGGTCTGCATGCTGGCCTCCTTCTGTGCTAGGTTTGTACCTGGGCAGGTCCCTCCCTGGAACACAGCTTTCAGCTGTGCCCACTCCTCTCTTAGCACCTTCTCTTTCTGCCCATGATCTATACTCCTGGAAAATAAGATGGGAGGCCATGCCAGGACCAGTCTTGCCTGACGAAAGCCATGACTCTTAGCCTTTGGGACACAGAGCCATAAAACTGACAGATGGACAAATGCAGTCTGGGGCTCCAGAGGGGCCAGGAGTCCCATCCTCCGCCTCCCCCCACCCCACCCAAGGAGCTGGTTGTGTTCAGATGTGGACTCTGCCAGGCTGTGCTGAGGGCCACCAAGCCTGGAAGACCAAATAGGGAAGCTGGGGGCTCACCCAGTGCCCAGCAGCTGCACTAGACAGGAGTCACTGCTCTCCTCTGAGAACAAGCCGTGGTGTTGCCATGCGTTGAACACCAGGGAGGCGTTGGTACGGGTCCAGGAGCGGGGCAGCTTCCAAAACCCAGGCTGGACGGCCGGCTGGAACTCTGGCAGGGAGCAGAAGTGGGTGTGTGTGTGGTTGGAAGAAGGGACACCCTGGCCCAGCCCCTACTTCTACCCTCCTGCCTTCCCACCCCACATAGACTGTGTCTGCTCTGGATTCACAGCCTCATCTGTTACTTGGGCACTGGGTGAGAAACATTTAAGAAGCAACTTTTCTTAAAGTTTTCCCCCAACCGGCAGCCATAGTGTTGGGCAGGTGGGGGCTTTGGCTGAAGTGAGGTTGGGTTGAATGGAGCCCAGGGCCCTCAGCAGATGTCACAGGCTAGCATGGCCTCAGGGCCCTGGCCTGGAAGAGCCAGGAATGGTGCCCATAGCTGGGCTGCTACTGTTTCAGCCAGTGTGGGCTGGCCATTCCTACTCTCACTTTCTCCTGTGAGCATGGGAGACAGTTGTCTTCTGCCAGGCTCACGGGCAAAGAGGGGTTCAGCATGGCAGGGCACGAGAGAGATGCTAGCAAAATGCTAAAAGCTTGCTGGGCAAAAAAACCTCCCCTTCTGGAAGTCTCAGGGATCAGACAGACCTGCCCCGCCCTGCTCCTCTTCTCCTCTCGGTAGGACCGAGGGATGGAATGAGCAGAGGAGGAAGACTCACTGCCTGTCTTCTCCTCACACCTGTTCTGTGTGTGTGTGACACTGTTGGCTGTCAGGGGTAGAGCGGCTCCCAGCTCACTCAGAGCACACCTGGCCCACACACACCGTCTTCCTCACCCACACTGTTACCTCTCAGGTAGTCTGGATCACGTAGCTGGAGGTAGCCAAGAGACTGGGGGAGCAGAGCCTCCAGCTTCTCAGCCAGCTTCCCTGCACGCAGGCCCAGCGGCCACAGTATGGGGTCCCTGACCCAGTCCTCCTGAATGCGTTTGAGCTGTCCTGAGAGAGGGAAGAGTGGTCATGCCAGCTGGGGCACGGCACTGGCACATGAGGATCCCAAGTGATGACAACCGGAGACCCACTGAGCTGACTGGAAGTGGGGACTGTGTTGGGGTGGGGACAGGGTGAATTGCATTCCTGGAGTCCCCAGTCCTGACTCTGACACCTGCTTGTTGGTGAGCAGAGAAAGTCATTCCCCTTCCCAGGCTTGCCTGGGACTGTCACTAAAGATGACACTGCATGGCTGGGATGCCAGTAAGGTAGGCATGTTGTCTTGTGATGCTGTCTTCTGCCCAGTGTGAATAATATGTCCATGATTTCCAGATACTCCTGCACCTTTCTCCCTGAGTGCTGTAGCATGGAACATGGCCTTGGGAGAGGGTGATCACCACTGATGCCCAGAGTTCCCAGTGGCTGCAGTCTGCCTCCTGCCTCTAGTCTGGAGGAGAGAGGGCTGGACCATGGGGCTCTAAAGGGCATGGCCATGACCGTGAGCAGGGACTGTCCTCAGCTGGAAAGCTGTAAGGGAGAGGCCAAGAGGGGAATTCTGGGAGGGGGGTCGGGGTCAGGCCAGCTTGATGCATTTGCCAAATTGGTCAGGTAGGCCTGCAGGGAGAGTCCTGGCAACACAGGTCTGGTGGGCGTGTTCCCTGGGCATGGCTCCCTGCTTGCCTTGGCCTCCCTCCAGTTCCCCACTGGTGGCTCTTATATCTCCCAAAGCCAAACAAACACTCGCCTGTTTTCCTAGGTCCTTCAGGAGGCTTAAGCCAGAGGCAGGAGGAAGCAGGGTTGGACCCAGATGGTGTAGGTCCCCAGCGTGGTCTGCAGCCACCTTCCCTTGCAGGGAGGTTTCCCCTGGCATGCATGCCCGTCCAGAGGGTTCCCTGTACCCCTCCTGTTCAGGGCCTCCCCGAGGGGCTGTCAGGTGCATCACTTCCCCCGCCCTGCCAGGAAGAACTATTTCTCATATTACCTTTGCTTCCATCCCACGTGTGGGTAGTCAGGTCCTCCAATGGCCTGCCCAGGGGCATGAGGCCTCACTTACCTGCCAACACCCGGAACCCTACCACGCCATCCAGGTTGATCTCTGACAGCCGCTTCTCCAGGAAGCCAGTGGCTCTCTCCAGCGCAGACAGGATCAGGCCTGCCTGGGCGACTTTGGCCCCTGCAGCATCTCCCCGGGGCAGTGAGGAGGGTTGCAGAGGCTGTAGGGTGGACAGCAAGAGGAGCAGCACCAGCCTAGGCCTGGCCATGTCTAGTTGCCAGCTTGTGGCTGTTTGTGCCCTGCAGTCCAATGCCCAGCAGGTCATACCTGTACACCCTCCTCCTCCTCCACAAGTGGCTGGGCAGGGCTGACCCCGCAGTGGGGGGTGGGAGTGGCCTGGGCACACAGCCTGGGTTGCAGGTTTGCTCATAGTCTGGCCAGTCCTGGACCCAGGGGACCTGCTTGCGTGCCTTTCTTACTTCTGACCCCACCATCCCGCAGGATGGGACTCTGCAGGACCCAGGACGGCTACCTGTGGTCTTCCCACCCTTCTGCTGTCACAGGGTTCAGTCCCGACCCTGCCGTGCACCCACGCGGGTGGGGACACATCCAGGAGGCACGGGGAGGACAGTGTCACACCCATTGCCTGCCGGTACCTTGGATAGTCGGTGCTCCAGCAGGTGCACCGAAGGCTCAGGAGTGAAATTGTTGCTTTTTACTGCAAACGCTTAAGAAAAAAAAGTCGTGAAGTTTTTTCTTTTCTGTCTCTATATCTTAAATGTTTTACTAAGTCAGAGATCCTGAAAAACGAACTTGTTTGTCGCTTGCTGAGTTTCCTCGAACGGACACGCTTGATTGCAAGACTCACGAACCCTGGGCCCACAGGGTGTCCTTGGCGGGTTCCTCGACGGGTTCCTCGGACCTCACTCAGGGAAGCCAGCGCCCTCCGCCTCCCTTCTCTCCGCCCACCGCGGAGGCTCGGTCTGCGGCTGCGCGTAGCGCGCCCGGCCGCCAGGGCGGGGGTCACGTGACAGCTAAGATGGCGGCGTCCTGGGTGCTGCTGCTGGAGCTGTGTCTGCTGCTGGCTCTGCCGCTTCTGCTGCTGGGCGGATGGAAGCGCTGGCGGCGGGGGAACGCCGCCCGGCACGTGGTCGTGGTGGTGCTGGGCGACGTGGGCCGCAGCCCTCGCATGCAGTACCACGCGCTGTCGCTAGCCAAGCACGGTTTCTCCGTGACGCTACTGGGCTTCTGCAGTGAGTGCGGAGCCGGGGGAGTGAAGGGGTTTGATGTCCCGGGTGGGTCGAGGTGGGAGCGCCCCTCTTGACTTTCCTCCCCCGGGTGGTTCTCCGAGATGGGTCAGGAGCTGAACGGCTGCTCCCAGGTTTCTGGCCGGCCTGGGCCGGGTGGGGTCCCTAGGGCAGCTGGCATCTGCCGGTTGGGTCAGGGCTGGGCCGAGTTAAGCGAGTCCATCTTTACAGCCTCCCGGAGCCTGGGGCCAGGCGTACCGGGACTGCGTCTGCCCCGGGAGACGTGTCATCCTCCGTGCATGGCTCCCAGGCAGGAGCTGGACTCCCGAGGTGCAGGTTGTGAGGCCATGGCGTCCGCGTGTTCCTGCTTTGAGTATGGTTTAACTGTGGCAGCCTTGGGTCCTCGTGAAGAGTCTGCAGTGTGTGGTGCCAGGCCTTGAGGGAAGCAAGGGTGGGTGAGACCGGGTCCCTTCGGCTGTGTGTGTCCGGTGGAGTCTGGACAGGAGTTGACTTTGTTCTTTCTTCTGGCTGCTGAGGAGCAGCGAGGAGAGGTTTTTGGAAAGTCTAACGGTCCGCGGTTGAGTGTGAGCTGAGCTGTGGGGCTTTGCCCTCCATGCTTGCTGGGACCATAGAGGGGGCTTTCTTGTTTTCAGACTCCAGGCCCCGCGCCGAGCTCTTGCGCAGTGACAAGATTGAGATTGTGAAGTTGTCGGAACCACCTCGGCTTGCAGGTACCAAGCATGCACTCTGGACTCCTTGGAGTCTGCGGGGCGGGGCTGCGGGAGGCCTGCAGGTTGCCCAGTGCCCAGTGGCTAGTGACAGGTGTCTTCTGACTTACAGTGGGGTCCCGCATTCTGCAGTATGGAATCACAGTGGTGTTTCATGCCGTGCACTTGCTATGGATGTTGATGCGCACGGAGCCAGCTGCCTACATCTTTCTCCAGGTGGGCATCAGTCCCTAGCCTCCTCAGCCTTCCTTTCCAGCCTTTCACAGGTGCACACCTTGACATACTGCCATAGTCACACAAGTGCGAGTGGGGGCCTGGGTATGTATCTGTTCTATTTATGATACTCATCCATGCTGCTTTTTTCTCTGTCCTTACAGATAGAGTCTTTATTTTACTTTTAAATGTTTATTTATTTATTGGAAAGGCAGAGTTAAGTGGATGGAGAGACAGAAAAAGAGGTCTTCCTGGTTCACTCTCAAATGATTGCAACAGCTAGAGCCAGGAGCCAGGAGCTTCATTTGGGTCTCCCAAATGGGTGCAGGGGTCCAAGGAGTGGGGAGCTGGTTGGGAAGGGAAGCTGCAGGGACACGAACTGTCACCCATCCAAGATGCTGGTGCTGCCACCCAGCACAGCACTGACCCCTACAGGTAAAATCTTACGTTGCACTTGTTACATATTTACCTGTTTTGTATATGGTACCTCACTTAATTCGCATAGCAACCCTACAACATAGATTCTTGTGTTATCTGCATTTTAGAGATGTGGCCTACATCCAGAAATGTTCTGTCAGTAGCTTCTTGTTGCACAGCAGAGAAGTGGCAGACCCAGCATCTGAAGTTCAGCTTTTTTCCTTTTGGATTTATTTGTCTGAAAAGTAAAGAGAGGGAGAGAGCCCTTCCATCTACTGCTTCACTCCTCAAATGACTGCAACAGCCTGGGCTGTTCTCGGCTGAAGCCAGGAGCCCATGTGGGACTCCTCTGTGGGATGGCAGGGTGTCAGAGCACTTGGGCCATCTTCTGCTGCTTTGCCAGGCCGTTGGAGATGAGCTGTGTTGGAAGTGGAACGGCAGGACTGGAAGTGATGCTCCGACTTGGGTTGCTAGTGTTGTAAGCAGAGAATTAACACATTGTGCTACAATGCCAGCCCTAGCCCTGAGTCTTGTAGCTGCACCTCTTCACCCACTATTAACATAAAGGCATATCTTCTTCCAGATGTTTTTGCTTCTGTAAATAGTATGGTTGAGAGCACTGTGGATGGCCAGCATTGGCCCAGAGCCAGCTTCTTCCTGGCAGTGGCCTTGCGTGGTCACAGTTGTGTGCACGTGGAGCATGCTGTAGTCTGTTCCTACGTAGTGTCCCAGGATGGCTGGCTCAGTGTGGCCCCACCAAGCTGGGGGGCCTGCACCCAGCCGACTTAGGCGTTCTCAGAACCTGCATACTTGAGGGGTGCATTGCAGTGTTTCCTTGCTTTACCCTGTGCGTTTGCTGATGGGTGATCTCATAGGTGATCTCTCATGTTTCCACTTGGTCAGTTGTTTCCTTTGCCCTTTTTTGGTGGCCACGTGGGCCTTTCTTGTGCTGGTTGATTGTCAAGAGCCCGTGTTTTGTGACTTCCCTTGTGCAGGTTATTGTGGAGTCTGGTCTAGGCTTCCTTGCCTTCATGAACCCCTCTCTTTCTCAGAACCCCCCAGGCCTTCCTGGCATTGCTGTCTGCTGGCTTGCAAGCTGCTTTTGTGGGAGTAAGCTCGTCGTTGACTGGCACAACTACGGCTACTCCATCATGGGCCTGGTGCATGGCCCCAGCCATCCCATCGTTCTGTTGGCCAAATGGTGAGACCTGGAAGGAGGGAATGCAAATGCTGTTCCTCAGACCTTGTCGGGAGCAGGCGGTGGGCAGCACGGGGACTCAGGCTGGAGCCCTGTGTGTCTGCAGAGTGAGGGCCTGACTGGGTTGGAACAGGCTTCAGCCAAGGAGGACTTGGAAAGGTCCTGGGAGATGGCTCCCAGTCTCGGGTGCCACCTGTGGGACTTGGCTGCTGTATGTTTGTGGCTGCTGTAAGTGGTGGTCTCAGGGTTCAGGGGCTCCCTTAGCTCTTGTTTTCATGCTTCTAGGCTCTGTGAGAGAGTATGTCTTTCTGGGTAGCTCATATAAGTCACTCCCACATTACATGGACAGAGTATGAGAGTGCACCCCCAAATCAGAACCATGGATCAGGCTGAACCTGGAGCAGAAAGGGTCCAATAAAAAAATATGTGTGTATATATATTTTTGGAAGGTAGACAGCAGCAGAGAGACCCGTGGAATCCTCTGGTTCACTCCCCACGTACCCTCAGCAACCAGGGCTAGGCCAGCCTGGAGCATGGGCCTAGAATTCCATCTGGGTCTCCTATAGGGGTGATGGGGGCCCAGATCCCTGAGGGTTGCCTGTGGCCTCCCAGGGATGGCAGGAAGCTGGATCAGAAGTAAAATAGCTGGGACTAAAACCAGGCACTCCTTCGTGGGATGTGAGCTAAGCCATGTGTGCACTAGCACTGGGCCAAATGTCCGCCCCAGCACAAGTGCTCTGGTGGACTCTGAGCCCAAGATGACTCCTGTTTTCCCATGCACCTTTCGCTTCACACCGCTAGCTTCTGCCCTGATGGGCTTGTTCATTGGCTGTAGTGGCAGCAGCAATGGAGTCAGATCCCGTAGTAGCAGCTGCTGGTGGTTCCTGAGTGCCTGGTACACACCAGACCTCAGGCCGAGCCCTCTGTGTAGTCTGTTCTCTTCTACCTCAGCTGCACTCCAGTGATGCTGTACAGGGACCACTCTTCCTTTCCAAGTCAGGAAACCAAGAGCTTTAGTCCCAGGTATCCCCTGCCCAGAGCTTTCTCTGTACCCTGAGGGCAGGCAGCTGGCAGTCCTTGCAGTGTTACCTTATGTGGCTCTCTCACCTTCCTGGGTCTAGGCTAGGTTAAGCCTCAGGTCTAGGCTGGGTGTTAGTGTCTTGGCTTCTCTCACATATTTTCTAATCTCCCTTGGCGTCACAGTGGGTGCAAGTGGGGGTCCCCGAGTTAGGCAGCCAGAGCACAGAGGGGCTGGGGCTAGCAAGAGGCCAGGTTTGCACTGTGGTGGTGACATGTGGCTTCCTTGTCCAGCAAATGTCCTCCAGCTGGGAAGCGATCAGATCGATCAGAGGCCCAACTTGGGGTCCTCAGGCTGCATGCCCTGTGGTCTCTGCTGTAGGAAAGGCTGGGCCGCTCTGCCTACCAGCCACATGTCTTTCCAGGTATGAGAGGTTCTTTGGGCGCCTGACCCACCTGAACCTGTGTGTGACCAACGCCATGCAGGCGGACCTGGCAGAGAACTGGCACATCAAGTATGGATGCCCTGGGGTACCCGTCAGGTTGAGGGAGTCCTGGGGTTGGTGGCACCTGCCATGCCATGTTTGTTGCCTGGCATTCCACAACCCCAAGGGGCCAGGGGGCGGGGGTGCCAAGACTCCTTCCCAGCCAGCCAAGTAGTCCGAGCACTTATGAGCTCAACACGTCTCTGTTTCTAAGCCCGGGATTGTCAGAATTGGTTCCCTGGGCCCTGTTCCTAGAGCCTTCTGGGTCTTCATTCCATGGGCCCTGGGCCATCCTTCCCTAGAACCCCCTCCCCTATGATGTCATTGTAGAGCTGTGACTGTCTATGACAAGCCGGCATCATTCTTTAAAGAGACGCCACTGGACCTGCAACATGAACTGTTCCTGAAGTTGGGCCGCACCCACCCACCCTTCAGGGCCCGGTAGGCCTCCCATGTATGCTCCTCACTATTGGGGTGGCCCCTCTTCCCCATCTCCTTATCTCTTCACTGCATACCTGAGGATCCACACGTCCGGGGCCTGATGCTTAGTTTTGTAAGTAAAGCTTTGTTGGCATGGCACACAGTGTTTTCGCTCCTCCCAAGTTGTACCCAGGAGCATGTGGTCTGTAGGACCTCAATTGTTGACTCTCTGGCCCTTTAAAAAAGGATGGTCAGTTCTGCATGGATATCCTCAGGTCAGTGGCTTCTGTGCCTACGGCCAGGGACCTTCTGAGTGTCGCGTGGGGCTAGCAGGGGGTGCTTTATGCTGCTCTCCATAACCTGGCCTGGTGGACACAGCAGGTGTCAACAGCGTCCCCCTCTCCGTGACAAGCAGTGGCTTGGGAGGTGGGTCCTGCTTGCTGCTGGCAGGTGACTGCTGTTCAGGGCCTCAGTGTCCGGTGTGCTGCTGTGGTGGCTGGCTGCCCTTCCTGAGCTAGTCCCCGGACCTGGGCGTGCCCTGTGACACCTCCTGGGTTCTCCCTCTGCTCCCCCAGTTCGGAGCCCTCGGACCCAGCTGTAGAGAGATCAGCCTTCACAGAATGGGATCCTCGGAGCGGAACGGTGACTCATCTGCGCGGCCGACCAGCCCTGCTGGTTAGCAGCACGAGCTGGACAGGTGTGTTTGAGTCCTTCCCCAGTGTCTGGGTGACAGGCACCAGTTCTCACTTCCACACATCCCCACGGGGCAGTGTGTCTGGGGACAGGCTTGTGACACTCAATTCTCTTCTTGTAGAGGATGAGGACTTCTCCATCCTGCTGGCTGCCTTAGAAAGTAGGTGTGTGGTGTGGGCTGAGGATAGTGGGTATGGTTGTGGGCAGCTCCCGTTTGGGTCACGGGTGGCCAGGTCTGGACATGAGGCACTGCCCTGGGAGAAGTGTCTGCAAGGCTTAACGTCTCCTTGGGCTCTGGCTAGTGGCTCTGTATTTTTGTTCACGCAGAATTTGAACAGCTGAGTCTACATGGAGACAGCCTTCCTCCTCTAGTGTGCGTGATAACAGGTACCATGGGACCCTCTGTGCCCTGAGGTGAGGGATGGGCATGTGGCTTTGGCCTCCTATGCAGTGTTATCTGGGAGACCACACCCCAGCTCCACCGATGAGGTGTAGCCATCTACTCACTGTGAGGAGAGACAGGGTCTAGGTCTGTCTCTGGAGACCCTGGATGCTGAGCCATGCATGAAGCACCTTTCCCTGTGTATCTCATGGCTGCCTCCAGATCCCTGGTGAGGAGTGGGAGATCTGGACAGGAGGAGGGAGTCCTCCCTCCCTCCCACCCCTCTTCTCACCTGGTTGGGCAAGAGGCAGGCCCCATCCCCGCCCCTGGAGCATGTGATGACACCTCAGCCATGTTCAGAGCTTGAGGCCACCAGCTGCAAGTTGCAGGGCCTTCTGTGTGGCGAGGGTGCCTTCCCTGTGGGGTCCTAAGGCTGTTTCTGGACTGGCCCAGAGGGTCTTCTGGGGTGTGTGGAAGAGTGGCATGTCTCCCCAGCCCCTGCTGTCTCCTCTGTGCCAAGGCAAAGGGCCCCTGAAGGAGTACTACAGCCGCCTGCTGGGCCAGCGGAATTTCCAGCACATCCAGGTGTGCACCCCGTGGCTGGAGGCCGAGGACTACCCGCTGCTCCTGGGTAAGAGGTCGGCAGGGGGTGGGGCCCGGTGGGAAGGATTCTCCCCCTGTTCTCTGGAAACTGTGCCAGCCACACCCAGCACAGGGACCCTTTGTAGGCAGGCCTGAGGCTGGAGAGGGTGCTGGTTCCAGGGACCTACCAGGAACTCTGACAAGGTCCTGAATAGGCCTCTTCCTGGCATGGCATCTTCTTCCTGCTCAGCTGCATGGATGCTGTTTGCCAAGAGGTCCTTAGCCCCTGTGTTCTGCATTCGGCCCTGCTCTGTGGTTTGCACCAGGACTAGGCTTGGTGTGGCTTTATTTTCAGGGACAGCTGACTGCCCTGGGATACTTTTTTCAAAGTATTGCAGTGAAATCTCTATTGGAGTTGGCCATTTCAGACATGTGCAGCTCTGTGGTGCTCATGACCTGCACCCAGAACCTTTTCATCATTCTCCAAACAGAAACTCCCAGTTCTTTTAAGGGCACCAGGGTGGTAAGGGAAGGAGTGAGGTTAGCCTAAGTAAGTGTTCGACACCAGGCTGTGCTGCTGGCCGTTGTGACCGTGTGTGTACATGTGCGCATGTACAGATGTGTGTTTATGTGTCTACAAGTATACGCATTTATTGTGTGTATGCATGTGCTTGCTGTGTGTGTGTATGTGTGGCCCAGTGGTCCCCGATCTTTGCCTGCTGTGGAAGGTTTGACACGCTGCCCTGACAGGTCTATGTTCACAGGGCATGGCCAGCACACTGACCCTTCCACCCAAACCCCCTTGCAGGCTCAGCTGACCTGGGTGTGTGTCTGCACAAGTCCTCCAGTGGCCTGGACCTGCCCATGAAGGTGGTGGACATGTTTGGGTGTTGCCTGCCTGTGTGTGCAGTGACCTTCAAATGGTAGGAGCAGAGAGGGAACCTTGAGGGTGAGGATTCTCAGCCAAGGGGTCTCCAGCAGCAATGGCCCTGTGCTTCTGGTGGTTCAGCTCCGGGCCTGTGCTCACAGAATGGGGCAGTGGCTAGAATCACCTGTGGCCTCTACCGTTTTACCCCTTGTTGGGCCTTGTGGTTTGATGTGTCAACTCCATGAGTGGCCTTGTGTAACTACCCTGGACTGTTACTACTGGGGGAGGTAATGGAACAGTAGCCCCCAGGCACTCAGTAGCCAGTGCAGTGTGTGAGACTACTGCGAGCTGAGTCCAGGGCAAGGCGGGATCAAATCTCCCATGACCCTGAAAAGCCACCTGCAATGCGGGAAGCCTATCTCCAGGGAGTTCCTCTGGCTTGGTTGTTGGGTGTGGAGTTAGGAAAAAACACAGGAGCAGGCTTGGTGAGTTTTCACTTACCAGCCAATGGTACCCAAGCTCCTGGTGCCAGCTCATGCCCCTCCTGGTTGGAATGGTCACTGTACTGCTCATAGGGCACCACTCGAGTACACGGCCAGGATACTTTGTGTATTCATGGAGCAGCTCTGTGTTCTGTTGAGATGCTGTACTTGAAGGCAGATTCCAACATCTAGCTGATGGTTGGGGCCTGGTGTCAGTGGGGAGGGGGCTTGGGTCACAGGGTCTTCCCTGGGCAGCTCAAACCTCTCTGCTCTCTGCAGTTTACATGAGCTTGTGAAGCACGAGGAGAATGGCCTGGTCTTCAAGGACTCAGACGAACTGGCTGCTCAGTTTCAGGTAGCCCTGGGTGCACCCCAGTAACGGGTGGTAAGCCATACTGCCTGACCCTGCAGTGTGGGGGTCTGGGAGAGAATGGGGCTCTCTCTAGCCTGACCTCTGGGTCCATGCAGCTGACAATGCTGTGCAGGCAGCTGTGCTGCCAGTTAGGGGGCAGTCAGGATCAGAGATGTGAGGGGAAGCAAAGAGTGCCTATTGGACCAACCCCCACCAGTGGGATTTGGCAAAATGCACCACAAAAATGCCCTCCTTGTTTGAAAAAGACATTTATTTATCTGGGAGGCAGAGTGACAGAGACAGATCTTTCATCTGCTGGTTCACTCCCTGAATAGCCACAGTGGCTGGGTTTTTTTCTGGTCAAAGTCAGGAGCTTTGCACTTTATCCTGGTCTCCCATGTGACAGGGCCCTGAGCACCTGGGCCAGCCTCTGATGCTATCAGAGACCTGGATTGGAACAGAGCAGCTGGGACTCTACTTGTGCTGCTGTATGCTGTATGGGATGCCCACATGACAAGCCACGCCTGAACATGCTGTACAAAGCACAGGCCTGGCACCACTCTTGTCGTACTTTGGGCTTTGTCATGTTACCTGGATAACTGCTGTCTAGTGAAGGCAGGTGCAAACCAGCTTGAGATGAAGGTGGGGGTCTGGTGCCATTAAAACTTTACTGATACACGGATGAGGGCCTGCAGGCTCTGACGCTGACCTGACTGCAGTCAGCAGAGTACAAGGGACTCCAAGGACAGAGGCTGGAGGAAGGTCCTCAGGGAGGAACAGTGGGCTGAGGCTAGGACGTGCTCCAAGGCACAGAGGACAGGACAGGGGAGAAGCAGCAATGTGCTGCCAGCTGGGGCCTGAGGGAGTGGGGCCCAGGAAGCAGGTGTTGCTCTGCCAGGACCGCGGCCTAAGCTGTGTCAGGCTGGTCAGCCTGGAGAAGCACCTAGGGACACTCTCGTCTTCATCTCCTCACAGATGCTTTTCTCAGAGTTCCCGGATCCTGTTGGCAAGCTGAACCTGTTCCGGAAGAACCTCCGGGAATCGCAGCAGCTGCGGTGGGATGAAAGCTGGGAGCGAACTGTGCTGCCCCTGCTGACGGACACCTGATCCCTGCTGTCCAACCTGCCAGTGGCTGGGAGGCAGGACGACAGCAGTGCAAGTTTCCATTCTAGCAACAGGATCCATAGGGCACCTCTGGCCTCTCATTTGTCCTGCTCCTGCCTGCTTGCTTCTGCACATGTCAGCACAGTGCCCTCTGCCCTACCATGTCCCTTGCGTTCTGACTCCTGCAGCACCATGCTGTGCTGAGGCCTGGGAAGACCGAACTCGATAGGCATCTTCGTGTGCACGTAGAAATGCTGATGGCTGAGCTGTGCCCCCTTCTGCTCAGCAAGGACACACCTACAGTTCCTGGTTTACAACTGGACCTTCCCCAACACTGTAGCCCAGAGATGGGTCGTCAGCCTTGCTGCGTGAGTCACCTTTCTGCGAAGCCTGCAGTCCCAGCCTCTACAGCGTCAGCTTCAGAACCACCACCTCCCAGTGCTCCTCGTAAGCAAACAGAGTGCGGTCGTGGGGAGGCACTGCCTCCCAGCTGATCCCAGCCTGGCCTGTAAGCAGAGCACATATGTCATGGGCCAGAGGTATTAGAGACGTGTATCAGAATAGCTGCTGCTCTGCGTGGCTCAGACTTCCAGGTACATCCTGGAAACTCAATCCAACCTGCCAGGTGGCACAAGGACCCTCTCAATCAGCAGTGACAACAGCCAGGTGGCCCTGCCCCAACTGTACTCAGCATAGGCTGGGACAGGCCCAAGATCTGAACCACATTGGGGAGCTCAGACAGGAAGGGTCACAGGCACTATCTGTTGGCAGTAAAACCTCAGCATATGCAGGAAAGACAGAGTCCTGCAATAAAGACAGAAGCATGCAAGCCTGTGGCCCTGCTGTCCAGGTGTAGTGTCTTTGAATGGTCTGTGGCATTCTAGGTCCTGCAGGGCACACCAGATGTGGAGACACTGGATTGTAGCACATGAACTGCCTATGTGGATGGCACTGAGCCCTGTGTTTCACACGCACATGTCTGGTAGTGGGGTGCTGAGCATGCACCTGCCACCTAGGCCTGCAGAGGGGGAATCTGGGTGGGGTGGGCATGGCAGCCAGCCTCAGTGCACTGCCAATGAGACATGGGGACAGTACCCTGCAAGTGCTGGGCTGACAAATGTCAGGTCGGGGGACAGCACCCAGCATGGTGGTGCCAGCTCAGGGCTGTAGAAACAGCAGTCCCTGCTTCTACCCTGCGTTTGGGTGCACCCCTCTGGGGTGGATGTGCATTGGGCACAGAGAAGGCAGCACACAGAGAACCTAGCTCTGCCAGGGTGGCGGATTCCCCCTCAGGTCCTGGGCTTAGTCCCATGGGCCTCACCACACCCCAGTCCTGCCCCACCACCCAGCCATTCTACATGGCTCACAGGACCACACAGCAGGGCTATTAGTCACACAGTGGGCCTGAACTGCCCCTCACCCCAAACCCCCACGCCCCAGTGGCCAGGCTTCTGCCTGTAAGGCCTCCTGCAGGTAGGGGGCTCACCTAGCTGTGCCGTGAACAACTGTGGTGTCTCTGGATTGCGGATAGTGGAGGCCACATAGACGTCAGGAGGCCGCTGGTCCTTGCGGCAGCCAGAGAGCCTCTTTAGGAGTCCAACCAGTGAGAGGATGGCATCCGGGCAGTACAGCACGTCTGTAAGGTGGATTTGTGTCACTCAGGGCACAGGGCCAAGGTAAGGCCCAAGCGTGCCGTCCTTGCCCATGGGATAAGGACATGGGCAACGGCGGTTTTACTAAAGACATGCTACCCACAGAAACACAGGAAAACCCTTGGGAGAAACACCTGCAGCCAGCAGATGCCATGCCTGGGAGAGGGCCTGATGAGGCAGGACCCACTCTGCAGGATGGGCTGTGCTGGTATGCTTGTCAGCCAGGCCTGCAAGGAGCCCAGCTAGACACCACCTGGCCCTGTCCAGCCAGGTAGCTGGCTCCCTTGTGGTCTTGAGGGTATAAGACAGATGTGTAGTGGGGGGACTTGTGTAGCAAGTGGGTGCCAGCTGTGGAAGCATGGGGGTCCCCTCACAGGCACGCCCAGGAGCAGGTGTCAGCAGCACACCGAGAGCCGAGACGCAGTCCAGGGAGAGCCGCATTGCTCCTAACAGCCCCAGGACCACCAGGACCTGCCGTGTCCTTTTCTGCCTGTATCTGAAGACCTGGCCTGGGGCTGGGTGCAGCTTTGCTGAACACCCAGCAGTGAGTGCTGGTGGCTGGGGGGCCTGGCATGTGGCCTGTTATGCTTGCCTTGCTGGGAAGAGCCAATGGCATGTGCTGGATGCAGCCACCTTAACAGAAGCCGGCCCGTCTGCAGCAAGAAGGCTGTGGTCTTGGGGAAGCGGGGGTCGCCCTGGCCTCTGCTGCCACCCCAGAGGCCACATCACTTCCCTGTCCTGAGGTACCTGTTGCCCCCTTACCCAAGTAGAGCTTCAGGGAATCCAGGTGCCCAGCCTGAGGTGGGCAGGGAGGTACCTGCGGCGATGACTACGTCAGGCTGGAAAGCAGAGAGCTGCGGGCCTGTGCCAGTGTCCCAATCCAGCTGGGCCACGGTGACTGTAGGGTGCTCGGGCTCTATGGTGACATCCAGTTCCAATGAAAAGCCATTGAGAATAATGTTTTGGCGAAGCTGCTCCAGGACATGGCTGTGGCCGTCGCTGAAGATGTATGCCCTGGGCTGGCACGCCTTACAGATGGCCAGGCCTGTCAGGCCAGCCCCGCTGCCCAGCTCCAGGACAGTCCTGACCAGGAGAGAAGGGACTGTGTTGGTGACCATGCCGTGGCAGAGCCACTCCCCACCCAACCCTGCCCATGCCCTGGGGTCACCTGTGAGTGAAGGTTGCTGGATTCTGCATGGCCCACTCGGCCAGGTACAGGGCAGCATCCCACGTGACCAGGCCCGTGGTGCCGTGTGCGATGATGGCGGTGCTCTCTCTGAGTGTGACTGCGTCTCCAGAAGGCTACACCGAGAGGGCGGGGGAGTTCATTCAGGCTGGCTGTGGCTCGGAGTTCCCTGGCTGTATCCGCTGGGGGAGGGGCTCAAAATACCATCTCCTGAAGGAAGCCAGAGCTTCTAGAAGAAATGGCTGACCCCAGCCCACTGCAAATAACACCTAGACCAGTCTAGGAGAGCAGGGTGTCGAATAAACCAGGAGACCTGTGAAGGTGATGTCACAGATCCATGACGATGCCTGTGTGAACCACTGGGCTGCCACCCCGCAGGGGTTTCTAGGACCACAGCTGGTGCTCTTGAAGACAGGAAGAGAGGGAATAAACCTCCAGCCTTAAGCCCTAGTTCCCTGTCAGAACTGCACCCCAGGATGGGCACACGGGGTAAGGGCAGAGGCGAACCGAGGCAGATGATGCCTGAACGCAGGTCCCTGAGCTGAGCCCGCTGGAGGGGAGTTGGGCAAACCAGCAGGAGCTCTGCCTCCCTCCCCACTCTCAAGTGAGAAAAGCCGGGTTGAGGAGAAAAGCGTGGCCAAGTGGCGGCTGGCTGGCAGGAAACTGCCCGGAGCCTGTGACGGGGGTGGGCGCAAGTCTCTTACCAGCAAGTAGCTCCGGTGGCACTGGGCAGACTCGTCGGTGGCCAGGACCTCCGCCAGCGCCTCGTACAGCTCGTCCAGGGGCTCCGTGTGCGCAGCCTCATGCTGGGTGGACAGCGAGAGACTCAGGCGAGCAGCGAGCTGCCCGCCAACCAGCACAGCACAGCGGGCCTCCTCTGGTCCGAGAGGTGGCCGCCCACCTCCACCCCCGTGCAGGGGAGGTCTGGGCGGGGTGCCGAGTGGAAGGGAGGCGGAGCGACGTGAAGGGAGCTTCCGGCAGAGGCCACAGGGCGGCGCTGCCCACAGCAGGGCGGAGCATGGCGCCCTCAGTGGGCGGCTCTGAGGGAGAAGCCAAGACTGCCTCTGCCAGGCCTGGGTGGGCAACCCAGAGTTGGGCGAAGGCAGGTACGGGCCAAGCTCGCTGGGTGGCAGGTCGGAGGGCGGGGTGCAGTGCTGCTGGCGGGCAGGAGTCCTGGAAACACCAGGGCCCTGCCAGCACTCACCTTTCTAATGAGCTCGGAGAGGAAACGCCGGACGTAAGATGAGGACGGTGGGTACCTCGCACACAGAGGGTGTCTCGCGGTCTACGGGAGAGGCCATGCAGTTGGGGGTGGCAGAGCCCCATCCCATGTCTTCCTCTGTCCCCTGGGCTCAAGCTTCAGGTGAGGAGAAGGCTGGCCTGGGGCCCTCCTGCCCGTGAAGGATTCAACCTGAGGAAGCCCTAAAGCTTGTGCCGTGCTGCCTGGTGTGGGCGGCGTCCCTGAGCCCTCTCCCGGCAGGAACATGGGCATCAAGCGCCCAAGCCAGCCGAAGGAACCAGTGTGTGGTGAGGGCAACTGTGGGACCCTGGCTTCAGTGGGAGCAGGGCTGCCCCGGTGCCTGCCCAACTCAGACTTCCATCCCAGGCAGAGAAGGAGGCCAGGGAAAGGAGAGAACCAAACCCGGGGATAGTGGGGGAATGCTGTGATGTGAGCCGGGCAGAGCCTAGGGCTGTGCCTGGGTGGGCTGAGAGAAGGGTGTGCTCAGGGACAAAGCCAGGGCAGTTGCAGCAAGTTGCAGGCAGGGGCACAGCTGGGCATGCTCCCTGAGGTGGAGTGGCCACTGCCACATTCTGCAGAGGACAACAGGGAAGGCAGAATGAATGAGGAAGGGAGGCTGCTGGCAGGAGTAGTGGGGAGCTGAGGTCTGTAGGCCTGTACCTCAGGGCACAGAGTACCCGGAACCCACAGGCTTTGGACTGTTTTCCCTCCAGCTGTTCAGGCAGACATGTTGGGTTTGGAAGCAGTTCTTGCTGCTTCTGATGCTGTTAGCATGACACTTGGGCTAGAAGTCAGAATGGGCTGCAAGGGGCAGGTTCATATGCTGACTTTCGGGCTCAGAGTCCTGAGCTGCCACCTTGCCCACAAAGGCTCCCCTTCTTCCAGCCATAGCTTTTCCATGGGACAGGCTGGGTCTGCCTTACAGCATGGGGATTCTGACCCTGGGCTCCTCAATGGGTTCGTGTTGGGGAGTTGGGGGGTTTGAGTCCACCTTGGACTTGCAAGCAAAGTATACTGGTTTGGGATGCTGCTTCATGCCCACAGCCTATACCTCTTGAGGTGCGCTGGGACCCAATGGCTAGGCGCGGGGCTCACCTTATCTTGTCTCCATCTGTGTGCAGCTTCACCTCACCAGTGTGGTAAGGGCCAGTCTCTGTCCAGAGGCAACCTGGTCAGAACAGACCTCCCTGACCAAGCCTGCAGAGCTGGCAGCAGTTACAAACTGCTCCTACACCCATCAGGTCAGCCATCACTGTGGGCAGTCCAGGAACCTTCTCTGCATTCCCTGGCCATGTGACCTCTGTATTTGTCATGCCTCTCACTAAGATACAGGAGCTGGGGCCGTCCCAGGCGATGACCCCTGTCCTCAATGTTGACATTCTGGGAATACAGACATGGATGCTTATAAACCACACAGCACACCTGTGGCTCTTCTTAGGCTCTGGCCAGCAGGCTAGGGGGCTGCACTGTCATTCCCAGAGTTGCTGAGATTCTTACTTTTTGTAAAAGATGCAGCAGCAGCTTCGAATCTGAGGAGGCCTTTAACTTCTCTTCTAGGCTCTATGTGGAGAGAGAGAGCGAGAGAGACAGGAAATCTCAAGGACATGTTCTTGTATTTTCAAGAATGTATCGCACACTGGTCACAAATGGAAGTCACAGCCACAGCCTGACTTTGAGGTGCCAAGGGATCCACTGGGTGAGTGGAGAGAGGAAATTAGCAGACTGGCTCTCGGGCTCATGGCCGCCCACCCTGGCTCAGATCAGTCCTGTGCCCAAACGAGCTGGCGTGGCCTCAGAGGTGAGGCGTGGTGGGCCTGAATTAAGGTGAAGACAGAACCTGCAGATAGAATGGACTTGGAGTCTAGTGTTTAGGCTCTAGAGTTGGGCAGACTGTCCCAGCCGACGTGCCAGCCGGGCATGTCATTTCCACACCCGGAGAGACTTGTTCTCTGGTTGTCTCCCATCCTCCCCTGTGGTGTGCACTGGGGATCACTGGCTCCTATGGAAGGCACCCCACAAACAGAGGTGGCTGAACAAACATCCTCAGTGCCCGGGTGGGCAACATGGGATGCCCCATTTTACTAATGAAAACACAAGGGACCAGGGTCCCACAATGCCTGGGTTCAAAGCAGGGGCTCTATGAGGTCTGAGCCCTTCTTTCTAACCAAGCCCGGCTCCCGGCCACCAGGGAGTGACCTCAACAGTTCCCTCCTCTCTGAGCAATGTCGCCAGGGAATGCAGGTAGGGACAGTGGGTACCGAATTCCAGGTGGCAAGGTGGAATATGCCTCCTCCCAGAGCAGAAGGTTTATGTTGAGGAAACTGCACAAGGCAGGGTGCTGCGACCTGCAACTCAGGCCAGCTCCAGGCTGCAAGCTGCGGACCGGCAGAGGCACGGAGCCCCAGATGGGTGGAAGGGAACCCCGGCAGAGGCACGGAGCCCCAGCTGGGTGGAAGGGAACCCGGGGCCTCTTCCCACCCGAGGCGTAAGGGCCGTGGTTCCCAGGACGATAGGATGGTCACCGAGAAGTAACAATGATCGCCACGGTGCAGCTCCCCGCACCATGCGGGCCTGGAGCAGAGCCTCGCCCTCCCGTGGGTGGCGAGAGGCCGGTCCCGAGGCCCACCCCTTTTTGTCTGCCCCCCAATGGCCCTCACACACCTGCCAGGGGAAGGAGCGCAGCACGCGCGCTGCCAGGAAGCGGCGCTCAAAAGTCTGCAGTAGCAGCTCGCTCTCCGCGATTTCCGCGGGCGCCATGGCTGGGGCTGGGAGACCGGCGGAAGCGGGGGCGGAGCCGACGGGGCGGGGCTGGAAGGTGGGCGGGGCTGGAAGGTGGGCGGGGCTGGAAGGTGGGCGGGGCTGGAAGGTGGGCTCGGCCTCTGGTGGACCGCGAAGACTGGACAAAGTGTGAGCTGCAATCATGGGTGGATATCCTGGGCTACTTCTGTAAATGCACCTCAGCACTCTTGAGTCACCTCTCCTCTGCACAGCCCGAGGACATGAAGTCACCCCACAGCTAGGAGCGCCCTGCCTGACCCCTTAGAAACCGGCCTGTGCAGACCCCTGAGAAACCGGCCAAGGATGAGTCCCCTAGGGTCCCAGAGGGCCTGGCACACAGGCAGGAAGCCTCCATCCCGGGGCAGGAGCTCTCAGAGGGACTTGAGTCTGGGAGGAGCAGGGCCTCGGCTGAAACTTTTTCGCCTGACAAAGCTCTCACAGGGTTGGGGTATTCGGACAGAGGTGAGAGTTGAGACTGTGACTGAAGTGGAAAGGTAGAAATCCAGGTAATGCGGCCAGCACTGTGACATAGCAAGCTAATCTTCCACCTGTGGCAGCAGCATCCCTTGTGGGCAATGGTTTGTGTCCCAGCTGCTCCACTCTCCATCCAGCTCCCTGCTTAGGGCCTGGAAAAGCGGTCGAGGACGGCCCAAGTCCTTGGGCTCCTGCACCCATGTGGGGCACCTGGAAGAAGTTGCTGCCTCCAGCTCTGAAAGTTGTGGCTGTTTGGGGAGTGAACCAGCAGATGGTTCTCTTTGGTCTGTAAAATAAAAATTAGTAACTTTTTTAAAAAGGAAAGAAGGAAAAAATATCCAGGTCATGTGAGTGGTCTGTGCTTGCCTAGAGAGGAATGGTGTGTCTGTGAAAAAGTCAAGATTTACCTTGCAGATTTAAGGCTTCCCATGAGGATAGCAACAGCCCTAATGAGTTTTTTTTTCTTTTAATATTTTATCTATTTGAAAGCCATAATGCAGATTTGCACAGGGAGAGAGACAGAGAGAGCTTCCGTTATCATGGCTGTAATTGCTGAGGATGGGCTGACCTGAAGTCAGCAGCCAGGAGCTCCCTCCAGACCTCTGCCCTTGTGGATGCAGGGACCCAAGCACTTGGGCCATTTCCCACAACTTTCCCAGGTACGTTAGCAGGGAGCTGGACTGAAAGCAGAGCAGCTGGGACTTGAGGGGGTACCTGTGTGGGCTGTCAGCATTGCACACAGCAGCCCCAACCCTGATGCATTTTTAACATGTGGAACAGGTCCTTTTAAGAAATGACTCGGTGCTGGCTCAGACAGTAGGCTGAAGCTTCTCCTTTCTCTCCTGGCATTAACAGTTTTTGCACAAGAAGACCAGTTGACCTCTTGGACTGTGGAGACCTTCACAGGTCATGCTTCAACTTGGACGAAGTTTGTGTAGTTCAGATGTCAGTTATTAAGTGTGAACTTTCTAGTTGAGTTGCAGCTTGCTTCGACCAGCAGAGACCAGCAGAGCCAGTCACGTGGACAGGGACAGGGTCTGGGGATGAAGCACCAACAGGAGACCAGTGATGGTGAAAAGTCTCTGCGGAGTCTTGCTCTATTGCTCTAGCACCTCTCCTTATACTCTTTCCTAAGGCCTAATTTAGCCAGGATATTGGATACAGATGAGTCCAATTAATCTAGGTGTTTTTAGGCGCAAGCCCAGTTTCTGCCCAGGCAAACAAGCGCTAATCAACTCCTTAACCCGCAGCAGCAGCTCAGCTTGAGCCCAGGGCAGTGTCCGGGAGACTCGTGTGCGGTCAAGGCAAGGCGTGAGCTGAGTTTTTTTTTTTTTTAAAGATTTATTTTTATTATTTTTTCATTGGAAAGGCGGATATACAGAGAGGAGAGACAGAGAGGAAGATCTTCCGTCCGATGATTCACTCCCCAAGTGAGCGCAACGGGCCGATACTATGCCGATCCGAAGCCAGGAGCCTCTTCCGGGTCTCCCACGCGGGTGCAGGTTCCCAAAGCTTTGGGCCGTCCTCGACTGCTTTCCCAGGCCACAGGCAGGGAGCTGGAAGGGAAGCGGGGCTGCCGGGATTAGAACCGGCGCCCATATGGGATCCCGGGCGTGCAAGGTGAGGACCTTTAACCACTTGCGCCACCGCGCCGGGCCCGTGAGCTGAGTTTTGACTTCCGCTGGAGCATGATTATGGTGAGTGTGATAGGAAACGTGAGGCCTCCATCTGACACATTATGTATTGGGGATGCAGTTGCAGGTGCACCAGTGCTGTGCTTGTGCTTGGATTGTGTCTGGGACGTGTGCCGTGTGCAGGGCTTACATTGTGTCTCCTGGAGAGCTAAGCTGGATGTCTCAGTCTCCAGGCATTAGAAACGCAACCGGATTTGCAAGTAAGTCAGTTTCAGGCGAGGTTAGCGTAGAGTACTGGGGGGCTCTGATTCCAGTGCGTGATGTAGGAGGTGGGGAGACCTAAGAAGGTGGAGATAGAAGTGAAGACAGTGACCTGGGGGTGAAGATGGGTGGGCAATAGCGTCCAGAGGAGTACCCACACATAGCAGCAGCTGCCAGAGCCTGAAGCAAGGGGGAATTGGCCCCGAGCAGGGCTCAGAGGGAGCATGGCTCTGCCCAAAGCTCGGCTACAGACTTGTTACCTTCAGGTTTGGGTGAATCCATCCATGCTGCTCTTGGTCACTGATCTGTGGTTTTTTCAGCAGCTGTGGGAGATTGATAAAACGGGTGCAGTGCAAATGCAGGGCCTTTGTCAGAAAACTCAGCATTTCAGAACAAGAGGCTGCCCCGGTGACAAGCCAGGAAGGCAGCCCTGGCGGTAGGGTGTTGCCGGTGGCCAGCCCAGGTGGCAGGCAGCAACAAGTGGCTGATGCCCAGTGACCTTGCCAGGATAACCACCAGTGTGAGCGGCACAAGTGACAGCACAGAGCCCACCTGCTGTGTTTCTGAGACACCCTTTGTGCCTCAGATTCTATTAGAACACTGGGGTGGGGGGAGCTTTTAATTAATTGTCTGAGTATTATGAGGCTGTGCTGACTGCTCCTGGGTCCCCAGGGGAAGTTTCCCACCCAGGCATTCGTGAATATTAATTATGCAGATGAAATGTGCATTTAACCCAAGAAAGTGCTTCCTGCAGGGAATCTCCAAGGGCTCGTTGAAAGCTTCACTGATGACCTCACTGCCAAATGACCCGTTTGCCTAATGACCCGCTTTGCTGAATGACCAATCTGCTAAAACCCAATTTGCTGCAAATGGGTTTTTGGGATGTCCTGCTTATCAGTTGCTGTCTGTCACACAACCTCCCCCTCCCTGGGCTCCTGTGGGAAGTGGAACAAGGTAGGGGGCAGCAGAGCTGTGGCAGAACTCAAACTCAGAAGGAATATACTCAGAGTCACTTGGTGAGCCCACCATGTGCTGGATTCATCCTGCTGCTTGTCCCCTGTGCACTGGCGGGAAGGTCCGTGGGCAGGCCCTCGGTGTAGGGGAGTATTTCCTGGGGGCCCTGCCTGGGAGCCCCTCGCAAGAACCCACCTCTTGGGAGTGGCACAGCAGCTGTGAAGGTCTGCCCAGTGACTCGTTGGAACTAGCTCCAGAGGCTCTGCATGTGGTCCCATGTCTGCCAGGAGACTGTGGAAGCCATGGCCTCCGCTGTTAACATCTGTGACCAATTTACTGAATGTAGAGACAAAGCTGTTTTGGATTTTGGTGCCCTGGGAGAAAACTGTCCCTTAGTTAAAATCACAATGGTCAGATCCCTGAAGCCTTTGAGAATTTAGAATGGGATTCTGTTTCCATATTGGAACATGTGTTCAAGTCCCGGCTACTCTACTTCAGATCCAGCATTAACATTAGCAATAGGCCTGAGGAAGGCAGTAGAAGATGCTCACAGGTACTTGAGTCGCTGCTAGCCACGTGGAAGACCAAGATGTCCTACAGTGGGAGCTGCCAACAGATACAGCAATTTGATGTTGGCCCGCCAAGTAAGCAGGATGCTGCTGTCCACCTGGCCCTGTACCAGGCTGTCCTCCTGCCCAGCCACTTGTGACAGTGGCCAAGAGAAAAACTCTGATGAGGAACTGAACCTCAAGAGGCATGAATAAGGAAAACGCCAGGAAAGGGATGCTACCAGGAGTCTCATGCCAGGGAGCAGCTGCCAGGGCTGGAGACAGGAGAGGCCCTTGGTTTTACACAGGGAGTTTGAATCCACATGCTGCCTTTTGGTTGCTGTGTGACTTTGAGAAGTCACAGCCCCACTCCGGGCCTTAGCTTACTTCTCTGTGTATGAGCTAATCACAGTCTCTCCCTGGGAGTTTTTATAGGTGAATTTGTACAAATCTCTTACTTCAGTGCCTGGTACGTAGGAAGGCTTATGGAGGCTATTTTCTTGGGAGGAAAGAACTTGTTCGTGTGAGCTGAGCTTGAATATTATTTTTGACATTTATTTGTTTATTAGAAAGGCAGAGTGACACAGAGAGAGAATGGGTGAGATCTTCTATCTGCTGGTTCATTCCCCAAACGGCTGCAATGGAGCACGTAGGAGCCAGGAGCCTCATCTGGGTCTCTCAAATGGGTGCTGGCCGGAAATCTCAGAGATTTCAAGGGAAATGCTCTGGGATTTTTGGATTAGATGCTCATTTCTGGGTCAATCATCTGTGGCTGTGGCTGAGGGTTCATGCAACCCTCCCACCCCCTCAAGCTCCCTTCCGGAGTCACATGGCTGAGGTCAAACGTGGCAATCTGTGAAAGCAGGTGTAGGAGGTGGGCTGGAAGGGCAATAGGTGTGTGTGTGAGAAAAGGAGAGGATTAGGGGATTGGCCTTAAATTTGCTCATTATGGTGTCTTTAAGAAGCATTCAAATAAGAAGTTTCATTGAGGCTCTTACAGGACCTGTGTAGCAGAACAGGAACACCCACTATGTAATGAATATTCCCTCCGTGCAGGCTGCTGCCATGTATCCAGCTCCTAGCCCTGCAAGGACCAGCTCCAGGAACCACCCAGGTCTGTGGGTGGTGAGGCTGATGCCCACAGGAGGAGGGTTGGCGTTTGGGTTGCTTTCTTCAGTGAAGTAAGGCCAGGCTTAGGTTCTGGCTGGAAGTGGTCACAGCTTGAGATGTGTGTGTGTGTATATACTGTGCAAAGACAAGCACCACATCCCACAGATGCCTTTTTGCAATGTGATTGCCCTGGTCTTTCCCTTGAGAGGCGTGGTCCCTAAACTGGGCCACTGCATGTTGTTTCGGCCGAGTGTTGATGTTCACCTTGTGGTCCTAGACTTTGAGATCCTCTGAGCATCTGTGCTTTTACCTGCTTTATAGCTGGCCCTGGGTAAGCCTTGATGCAAGGGAGGGGGCTGGAGGGAACGAGGGCTGCTGGACAACAGCTGGCACTAACTTCTGGGCACTTGTAGAAACCTGTGGATGCCAGCTACAAAGGGCACACATGTGTACCCGGATGGGTGCAACTCCTGGGATCATGGGAAATGATGAATTGCTGTGCCTCAGGGCTTCTGTGTTTGGGGAGCAACGGATGCTGAGGCAGCCTGGGGTGAGGGAAGTGCCTGTCCCCAACTCTCTGAGGAGCCAGTCCAATGCTTGATGTTGTCCATTATCTCCTCCTCCTTGGGAACCTCCAGGAAGTTTTCAGAGTCAGATCTTCTTGGGGCCACCCCCAAACTCAGGAGTTAGTGTCCCTCCTGGAATCTTGCACGTGGGACTGGCCCAAGGAATTGCCAAGAAAGTAAGAGATGAAGGAAGCATGGAGGTGAGGAACCGTGTCACATCCACAGGGCAGGTGTGGAATAGGTGCCTGTGAGCTCGGTGCTGGCGAGAAGCCGAGCCCATGTTTCAGAATCACATGGCTGCTGGTTGGATGGTGTGAACATGTTTAAGAGGTGGCTTCCACGGAACACACCCACACATCCTTGAGACAAAAGCCAGCACTCACCTCTCCTCCTGGTCCCCGCAAATACAGCCCTAGGAGTGCTGACAAATTACTGCTTTCACGCATGGTTTTCAGGGGGATGTAGGAGAGATGACGTTGCCTGGCAACAAAACTTGGGCCCTTCCCGGAGTTCCTTGCCCACCACCCGCCAGCCATGCCTCTCTCTACTGCTTCTCATCCATCCCCCAGTTGTTTCTGGTCACATTCCCGTCTCCACACTCACCCTGCCTTCTCAACTTTGGCAATATGCCTGCTGCTTCAGCTGACACCCCCCACCCATGGGTTCTCAGTCCTCTTGCATGTGAGGGTATTTCCAGCCACATCATTGCATTACTCTGAATGCTCACTGCAACCCCTGAATCTTTGCAGAAAACAGGTCTATTTCAAAGGGTCTGCAAGAGTCCGTCTCGGCCCGTGTGTCATGCTGACAACTTTTGTTGCTAGAAGCAGGGCACGTACATCAGTTGGCTTGGGTTCAGGTGGAGTAGCCACTGTGTTCTGCTGAGGTTTTTAAGCCTTTCACACTCGGGTTTCTCATCAATGAGATGGAGGGAATAATAATGATAATGCCTGTCTCTACTGGGATAGCTCAGTATTTTATTCTCAAAGTTTGAAAGTACTTTTTTTTCTTTTTTAAAATGATTATTTGAAAGTCAGAGCTGGAAGGAGAGAGATAGAGAAAGATCTGTAGTTTGATAATTCACTCTCCAAATGGCTGCAACAGCCAGGGCTGAGCCACAGGCAGGAGCCAGGAGCCAGAAGCTCCATCAGCATCTTCCTCATGGGTGCAGATGCCCAAACACTTGGACCATCTTCCACTGTGTCCAGTATGTTGTGATGGGCATGTTCCTACAGTGTGTTTAGTATAATCACTTCCTTCCTCTCCCTGCAATGCCCCTCTCCTACCAAGCGTTGCCACATTGGCAGGACCCATGCTTTGTCTGAACCCTGAGGTTGAAAATATGCTCATTTGCTCGTTACCTGGAGGGCTTGTAAATGTGCTGATTCAGCTCATGTGGACCTGTGGGATGGGGCCAGGAGCCTGCATTTTCATCTCTGATGCCTAGGAGGGAGGAGGACCAGGGCAGTAGGTGACCCTTGGGTGGCCCATCCATCCTGAGGCTGCCGTCTAGCTCAGCATGTGCCTGTGCTGCCTGTTTTTCTGGGACTCTGGGTTGGCTTTGTCTGTGCTTCCTGTGGAAATTTTAGCCCTGTTTTATAGATGAGTTTGAACCTGCTTGGCTGCGCTTAGGAGCTGAGAAGGGACAGAACTGAGGCTGTGGCAGCAACTCCCTCCTCCTGTGAGACGCAGCTTGTAGGGAAGGGGTTGTGGCATTGAGAGAGCTTCCTGCCCTATCCCAGGGAGGGGGCTGCTCAGGGCACACAGCTCACACTCACTGGCAGCCCTTTGCTCTGAATGATGCACAGCTGTGGCCTAGCCCAGCTCGGTGAGCCCCCAGTCCCTGTCCTAATGTGAACTAGCTGGTGTTGCAGCCCAACCTGGCCTGTATGGCACCCCATCCTGGTTCTCACTTCTGCCAGTGGGTGATATGAGCTGGTATCCAAAACAGGCTTCTCTTTGCTGCACCCCACCCCCTGCTCCTAGCCTAAACACAGCCCTGCATTTCTCCACTGCCCCAGCGCCTGTCCAGCTTGGCCCTGAGATTCTCTGGCAGCTCTGGGGTCCTGTGTGCATTATTCGTGCAGTTCTTTGTGACACCTGCTGTGGCACCAGCGGAGGACAACCAGCTACTACAAACACGGCACTCATTAAAAAGAATGTGTGATTAGTTTTTAAAAATTCCTTCTCTTGACTGCCAAGTGTGGCATGTAGCTGGTGGCGGAGGGGGTGACTGGCTAGTTGGCTTGCTCAAAGGGGGCCTCCCTTGGAAGTGTTGGGCTGCTTCCCCATCAGCCTCTCCTCCACACTCTCCTTCAAAGGGCAGGACCCATGGGGAGGGAGCCGCATTTGCAGCCATGAAGCAGAGTTGAGGAAAAGCTCTCAAATGGGTGGTTGCAGAGAGGAGAGCCTGGCTGCTCGGTTGGATCTTCCCCACCTGAGGCTGTGGTCTACTCTGACTTCTGTCCTCATGAGACCTTCTTGTTCCTGAGGTTTGTGCACTCACATCGCCCAGCAGGAACTCTCCTGTGCTGGGAACCTGTGTGCCATGCCCTCCCTGTGCACAGGGGCCAGACACCTGGCGATTTTGTCCACCACACATTTTGTTCCCCCGGGACCCATTGGTGGTGGTACTCAGTCCCTGAGTTGAGAGGGCTGCTGAGGTTCCATGACCAGTTTGGAAGGCATGAGTGTAAAGTTCCTAACCCATAATTCACACCACAATAACCTCATTTGCTGGGGTTGAGCCATGCTGAAGCCGGGAGCCAGGAACTCAATCCAGGCCGCCTATGGAAGTGGCAAGAACCCCAAGTGCCTGCTGGGGTCTGCGTTGGCAGGAAGCTGGAGTTAGGAGCCAGGGCCAGATGTTGAGCTCTTTTTTTTTTTTTTTTTTTAAATTACTAAACAGCCATTTGTTTGTATATTTTATTTGGAAATGTTTACACCGGAACCGTGGAACTAAAGTTTTGAGACAATGGGCGTCATTAGACAGCATTAGTTTATTATAAAAGAAGACACGGAAATTATTTACATGATGAAAGATTTCAGAACGTCACTGGAATGGGCAGCTTCATGTGATGCCATCTCAACAGATTTCAATCTACGTATTTTCCAAGAATGTCACCATCTCTAAATAGAAAATAATCCTTGTCATCTAGAACTACTTTGGTGCCTCCATATTCTGGGAGAAGAACTTTATCTCCAACTTTCACACTAACTGGCTGAATCTCTCCACCCTTTCCTTTAGAGCCCGATCCCACAGCCACTACTGTCGCCTGCAACACTTTCCCTTGAGACTTCTCCGGGAGCATAATGCCTCCTTTGGTGACGGTTTCTGCGGCACTCCTTTCCACCAGCACCCGGTCAAAGAGAGGAAGAAACTTCCTAAATGCTTGTCCCGCCATGGCCGCAGCTCCTGCTCTGCTCGTGCGCGCCGCCGCAAGGAGAGAGACGCCCCACAGGCCGACCTCGCGGGGCACGTGAAAAGGCCCAGATGTTGAGCTCTTAATGGATGTCTTACCTGTTGGGCTAAACCGCACTATATGCCTGCAAAGTGTGAATTTCACGGAGTGCCAATCTCGTTGGGCAGCTGTGAGCAAATCCTCATGGTTTCTTTAGAGCTAGGTCCAGTTAATGGTCAGCCTCAGCAGTGACTTCCTGACACAGCTACCAAGGACCCTGCTTGATGTCCTTAGGCTTGGGCAAGTCTATAGGTGCCTCTCTCCATTGTCCACTGTTCGTTGTCCGTTGTGAGAAGAAGCGAGAGTGCTGGCTGACACCTGGGCCAGGTATCCAGGTGAGAACAGAGAGCCCCATTTTTGTTCCTCTGTTGTCACCATGGTGGTGACAATGTGAGAGACACCTGGACAGCGAGATGGCACTCAGGCTACAAAGTAACTGCAGGGAGCCTCAATACTCAGATTAGATTTTAAGTGAACTTGGATCATTGAAAACGTCAATTCTGTTCTTCCCTCTTCTCGTTTAGTTCTCCTTAAGGCTGTCTAGTGTAGAAATGGTCATAAATTTACATAATGGATCCCATAAAGCTGATCACTTTTGGTCTACAAGCATTTTCTTTGCCTGAGGATATTTAAGTTCTCTGCTTTCTCAATTGCAGCATAAAAGAGGGGAATGGAGGAGTTGCTAAATTGAGCAAGGGATTTTGGAGAAGGTTGGGATAGGGAGAGTATTGTGCAAGAGTGTCCTGACGTTCCTGCTGCTGTGGGGTTCATTGGGCTGCAGACAGAATCCGGGGGATTCTGGAGTAGGCATGGGGTGGGTTTAGGTATTACTGGAGGGAGGGTTTCCTCACTCAGTCAGTCTAGTCCGAGGCAGCGGGGCTGTCAGGAAGCCCAAAACATTGGCCAAGGTTGGCTTGCTTTTCGCATGTCTCCCCCCTGTGAACCCAAGCCTCTCAGAAGCCCAGTCACTGGGCAGGTGTCTCTGGAGTGATGACTCCATTTCTATTTGCTCCTGGGGTTTATCCATTTTATTATTTATTGCTTCTCATTTACTTGAAGGACAGAAAGTGAGAGAAAGAGACAGATGAGTGAAGAGTTGTTTGCATTCATTCCTCACATGTCCTCAGTTGTCATGGCTGGGCTAGGCTGAGGCTGGGAACCCCAGACTCAATCCTGGTCTCCCCTGTGAGTGTCAGGGATTCAAGTGCTTGAGTCATCACACCTGTTGCCTGCCAGGATATGTGTTAGAAGGAAGGTGGATTGAAAGTACCAGAAGTGGGACTTGAACTGGGCACTGTGATTGCAGATGCTGGTTACCCTGGTGGTGATCTCATCCCTGAACCCAAACCTGCCCCTGCTCATCTTCGATAAAGGAACCTCAACTCTGTGAGGCTGTGCTAATGAGGGAAGATTGGTTGGGGCCTTATAGGTCTTGGTAGTTCAGCAGGCATCCCAGGGCTACACTGTAGAGACATCTCCCTGGTCCTTACACCCGGGTCCCCCATTCTGGATCCTCCTGGAATCTGTGTTCCTGGTCATCTTCCCGGGACAGAGCTGTGTGGGGGCCCATCACGAAGTTGTGGGGGGCAGACATTTGGTGCCCGTGGACACCTGTACCCCACAATGCAGCCTTTGTATTCTGACTTTGGCTCCTATTCTGCATTTGGGCCCTAGTCACTCAAGCAAGGGACCCGGGTTGAGTTTCTGGAATTTGGGAATTGATCAGAAGATGGGAACTCTGTCTGTGTATCTATCTCCCTTCGCACAACCCCGCCAAAGCTCCTGGAAACTGGAGTTAAAAGAAAAGCTTACTGTGGGGAGAAACTCATTCATATTTGTGTGTCTGTATCACGTATAATTGATTCCTTACTGTAACACTGTATTGCAGCTTGCCTTTTCCATGTAAATTGTGCCTGATTTTTGAGTATTACAGAAAATTGCTACACTGAACTGACTTAAAACATTTTAGAAAGTATGTGTTTATTTCTTTGAAAACCAGAGGTACAGAGAAGGAGGAGGAGAAAGAGAAGGAGAGAGGGGGAGAAAGAGAGAGAGAGAGATCTCCTTTCCATCTGTCAGTTCACTCCCCAAATGGCCGAAAAAGCCAAAGATGGGTTAGTCCACAGCCAGGAGCTTCTGCTGGGTCTCCTGTGTGGGTACTAGAGCCCAGGAACCTGAGTCATCTTCAAATGCTTTCCCAGAAATTAGCAGTGAACTAGATCCGAAGTGGATCAACTGAGACTAAAAACTTTAGGGGTGCCCATAAGGAATGCTAGTGCTGTAGGCAGTGGCTTTGCCTGCCTCGCCACCCTATTGGGCGTGTGTGCTCATTCCCTATGCCCACTGTCATCTGTGACCATGTTATGCACAGCTCATCTCAGTATGGGGCTCTTGGAACCAAGGGTTCCTGTTGCTTGGACATTGTAGTAAAAGCAGGGGTGGAATATGTGACTCTTGCCTGCTAGGAGGTCACCACAAAAGAAAAAGGTCGTGACAGGTATTGCTGCTGTGACAAGTGAGCCCTGAGAACTCAGTGGCCTACAGCCCCTGCACACATGGTGCAGGGCAGATGTCTAAGGGGAGAGACCAAGGAGGCTCCTGTCTGGACACACTGATGCCTCAAGGGTTTCTGCTATTGAAATCCGCATGCTCAAGGAGCACACATGAAGGACTCAAACTTGCTTTTAATGACTGTGGACCCGATGTCATGGGATTTCTTACATTCCCTTGAGTGGAAATGCAGTCACGTGATCCCAGCCTAATTGCAAAGAAAACTGGGAAATGTCTTCCCTCATGTGCATGAAGAAGGTCGTGTCTGACATAGTTACTTTCTAAAATATTGATTTATTTGTACAAATAAGCACATTTCATAGATTTAGGATTGTAGTGACAGTTCTCACCCTGCCTTGCCTCTGCCTCTGTTCCCCCACACTGTTCCATCCTCATTCCTTTGCATTCTTTTCCAATGTTTACAACAGCGTGCTTGCATTTCACTTCACAGTCAATGCTGATTAGGTAAATAACAAGCTTTATTTACTTTATTAGTAAATATAGCAAGTAGGAGATTATAGAAAACTATTGTTCAGGACTGTATATACAAAGGCTGTAAACAAGAATCAAATCTCACTCCTATAGGTTATATATTTTTTTTTAAGATTTATTTTATTGGAAAGTCAGATATATAGAGAGGAGGAGAGACAGAGAGGAAGATTTTCCATCTAATGATTCACTCCCCAAGTGACTGCAACGGCTGGTGCTGTGCTGATCCGGAGCCAGGAGCCAGGAGCTTCTTTCCAGGTCTCCCACGCGGGTGCAGGGACCCAAGGCTTTGGGCCGTCCTCGACTGCTTTCCCAGGCCACAAGCAGGGAGCTGGATGGAAAGTGGAGCTGCCGGGATTAGAACTGGCGCCCATATGGAATCCAGGTGCGTTCAGGGTGAGGACTTTAGCCACTAGGCCACACCACCTGGCCCAGGTTACATTTTTTGCACTCTGTATGTTGTCACAGATTAGGGAAAATGTGGTATTTGTCTGTTTGGGACTGGCTTAGTTCACTAAGCATAATGGCTTTCAGTTGTATCCATTTAGTTGCACAAGACAGAGTTTCATGCTTTTGGATGGCTGAGTAGTATTCTGTAGTACATATATTCTGTATTTTCTTTATCCAGCCATCCGCTGATGGGCTTCTGGGTTGGCTTCACATCTTAGCTGTCGGGAGTGGAGCTGCTATAAACAGGGGTGCAGATGCCTCCAGCTGCTCTTTCCATCACCACACTGCTGACTTTTGCCTGCACATGTCCCAGGGCCCAGGGCTTAAAGACTAACAGATCTAAGCTTCTGGTCCTTGCTGGCTGGTATTGGGACGAGATGGCTCAGTAGATGAGCCCTTGAATGTCCACCCCCAAAACAAGAGGAAGTCCAGTGAGAGGCAGGCTCTCCACGATGCTGTGGGTCACTCTGACGAGCAGGGAGGGGGGACAGGGCCACTCTCTCCTCCAACTTTTATTGTCTCCACTGCCGAGCTGACAGGCAGGCTCATTAGTGTGTTATGTTTTATTCAATGAAACAACTTTAATGTTGCAGCTTAAATTGAATTCCCTATAACGTCTTCATCTTCAGTGTAATGTGCCTCGAGTGTTTTGGTGCCACCATCTTCTGTAGGATAGTTCTGAGGCAACGGCGATGGTGAAATCTTGTGCCATCTGCAATGCAGGCCGATGGCAGTGCCGTAATTGGTCTTCCCCATAATTAAAGGAACATTTCCTCATCAGAGCCATTCTTCCTGAGACCCCCAGGCAATCGGTGTACAAATCATCCTCTTAGGAAACCTTTACTGCTAGCAACCTATAAAAATCTAGTTATGCAAACAGATTTGCTTATTTGGTAACACGAGCGGGTTTTCGCAGTTAAAAAGTAATCGAGGTGATTGACCTATAATCCACCTCCTCTGTGACCGAGTGTCATTTCTATTTTGACGGCTGGGAACCTTTTGGCTCTGTCTAAAATTGTTTGCAGCTGGCATGAAGATACAGCAAGGGGAATCTCCAACAGTGACAAGCGGCAGATTCCCTGCCTGCTCCTCAATGGAGAATTGCCCAGCTGCCTGGGGTCCTGTCCCTGAAGCCAGTGGAACTGGGTTGTTACCCTGGATGCAGTACTGCTTTGCATCATTTCAGATGAAAAACAGACACTTGTTTGATAACAGACACTTGCTGAAAACTTGCTCTGGGATTGGTGTAATAGTTGAACTTCTGCTTTACTAACTTAGAGACCCCCATTCATTGGTTCACTCCCAAAAATGCTACAATGGCCTGGGCTAGGCCAGGCTGAAATGGGGAACCACGAACTCCATCTGGTTCTGCTACCAGATGATAGGGACTGAACCCCATGAGCCTTCACTGTGTCCCAGGGTCTACATTAGCAGGAAACATGAGTCAGGAGCCAGGAGCAGACTGCTGGGATGGAGGCCTTCCCAGCAGTTGTGTTTGGCCAAGATCTGTCCATGTTTCCTAGGAT